ATTTCACGGAACTCGTTCTTTACTTTGGAAAAAGAAAAACAGATTGAATAGAATCAGAACCCCTTTCCAAAAAGACAGAATTTAGACACACAGTAAAGCAAGCTACATGGCTCTGCCCCCACTGTCTGAGGAAGAAGGACTAAATGACAGCCAGAGGCGGGACAGTGAGCAGCCTCCGGGACATGAAGCTCAGGGCCCCCTTGCTCAGCTGCACTGGTCTGTTTACTCTTGGGCTTAACACGTTATTTATTCCCATTTAAAAATCCAATCTACCTTTGCCACAGACAATGATTTCTTGTCTAACAATACTAAGAAGATGGAACGTGATCCTTTTTTTTTCATTGTTTTGCTCAGAAAAGGACATTCTAACTCATGCAAACCACCAAAATAACCTGCAACCCTTGTGCTGTGACCATGTATTTAAAGGGGCCATCTCTGGCCCAGGTGCTGTCAGGGCGGAGACCCACGGGTGCCTCCCTGGGGCCTGCTGGTACTCCTGGGGACCCCGCCCTCCTCTCCTGCCTTTTCCGCTCAGCAGCTGTAGGCAGAGTTGACTCAACTTTGGGTGACATGCAGGCCGGGCATCCTGCTTGTGGCCTTGGTCCCATGAGGCTTTGTGCTGAGGCCTCCTCTACACTGCCACCCGAGGCGCCCGCCCCCTGTGGAAATACTGTGCAGCCAGCAGTGCCCGTCTTGGCCACCACCTCCCTGTGGAGTGTCTGCTGAGAACCCACCTGAAATACCATCTGTCCCTTCTAGAAGCCCCTGGCCTAAACCTCTCTTCTGGATTTTAGCATATTGGACCATGCACATGGCAATTAGTAACTCCTCTACTAGCCATTTTCACTCTATACTCCCCCCACTAATGAAACCTACAACTCACTGACAGTTCAGACTCAACCCGATCACAGGCCTAGCCTCAGCACCCAGCAGAAGCCTCACATGTAGCCACTATCCAGATGTACTTGACCAGAACAACAGCCTAGGGAGTGAGGGGACTACACTCACCTCTCAGTGTCCCCAGCCCCAGAAACACTATAAACCCCACCGCCACCAGTCCCAGGGACTGTGTCTCTATAGTTTGACCATCAGTATTCCGAGGCTTTCCTCCACTCCCGGAAAATACCAAACACGTGCTCCATGCTTCTAGTCCACTCAGGAAACAAAACCACATTAACTCAACCAACAGACTCGGCTTCCCAGGTGCGTGGACAGCCAGAGCTCTGGTCCCAGGTGCAGCGGCTGGGAGTTACCAGAGGAGGCCAGACCGAGGCATAGCCACACCTCCCAGAGACCCCTCAGGCTCGAACATGCCATTGTGTGGCAGCACAGTGACTGGTTTGAAAGGGCTTTTGGTTTCTTTTTTAATTCTCATCATCCCACACTTTAGGGTGACTGTCAATGACTCATGACAAAATATACTTGCAGCATCATAGATGAGTGAAGCAGACATCAACATGCCAATTTCCCCTAAAAAAAATGTTCTGAAACCTTCATATTAGACTAAACATAGCTGTGAGTGCACAGGACAGAGCTCTGTGGTGCAGACACACAGGTGTCATGCCCTAGGTCCACCGTGTGGGTGTTGGCCTGGGCCATTCCATGAAGTGGAAATATGCCAGCCCTATGCCGTTCTTTTCTGCAAAGTGCGGAGAGGGGCCCCCAGCTGCTCGCATCTGAGAGTTCCTGCAGGGAGCAGGTACTCCCAGAGCTCTTTGACTGTAGAACATGCCCTGAGCTCCCTGGCCCTCTCCATGAGACAGAGGAGAAAAGGGCAAGTGCACACAATTTAGTCCACACTAGAGACAGAGAGCCAAGCCAGAAAAAAAAAAAAAAAAAAAAGCCCAGCAAGACAATTACTCCTAGAAACATCTCCTCCCTGGATTTTTTTTTTTTTTTGCCATTGCTTTCTAGCTTGCCTTTCACCCCTTGCTGCCACAGTGCCAGACCTTGCCAGAAGCACCCAGGACCCAGCCCTTATCCTGGTTGTTGGGAGTCTGCACAACATCCCATTTGTTCAGTCAGCTCCCCAAAATTATCACTCAGGAACACTCATTGGCTTCCCTTGCTTGTAGCCAGATCTTTGCCTGACCTCTCTTATTAAAAGGAATTCAGGGCATGTGGATGGAGAGGGGAGAAAAACGTAAGGCTGGGAAAATGAGCCAAAAAAACTTGATTTTTCAGAATTCTGGGTTAGGAGTCAGAAACCTGAGTTCCAAAATTACCTTTGGCACTTCATGGCCTTGCACAACCTTGAGTAAGTTGTTAAGACTCTTGTTCTGCAAGACCTGGCTGGTGTGGCTCAGTGGATTGAGCACTGGCCTGCAAACCAAAGGGTCACCAGTTCAATTCCCAAGCAAGGCATATGCCTGGGTTGTGGGTCAGGTTCCAAGTAGGGGGCACACAAGAGGCAACCACACATTGATATTTCTGTTCCTTTCTTTCTCCTGCCTTCCCCCTCTCTCTCTAAAAATCAGTAAATAAAGTCTTTTTTTAAAAAAAGACTCAGGCTTCAAGCTCCATAACGACTTATGTGAGAATTCACTTCAGATAGATTCCTTGAGTCCCTGTTTTGGCCTGGTACCAAGTGGACATGTCCTCATTGTCTTTAACAGTTATTGTGACAAGTGCTATGCACAGGCTCCAACCCCTACCCTCCTCTCTGACCCACAGTGTTGACAGCCAGGGAGGATCAGATGAGAGAAGGTTCTAGAATGCCAGAACTCCACATAAATGGAGATTATCATTGTCATCATCTAGGTCAGCCTGAAAATAAGAGGCCAGAAAAGGTACCAGGGGCTGATCTAATTTTCAAGCTGGTGCATGCTAATGTGACTTGATAGCTACTATTTAAATCCCAAGGGTTTGAAGGATTTGGGGTACATTTTAGTCCACTGTTGAATTACTACAACCCAAGAAATTATTTAAGGTACATTTTAAAAATATATTTTATTGATTATGCTATTATAGTTGTCCCATTTTTTCTCCCCTTTATTCCCCTCTGCCCTGCACCCCTCCTCCCACCCACATTCCCCCACCTTAGTTCATATCCATGGGTCATACATATAAATTCTTTGGCTTCTCCATTTCACATACCATTTTTAACCTCCCCTGTCTATTTTGCACCTACCATTTATGCTACTTATTCCATGTATCTTTTCCCCCATTCTCCCCACCTTCACCACTGATAACCCTCCATGTGATCTCCATTTTTGTGATCCCATTCCTCTTCTAGTTGTTTGTTAGTTTGTTTTTGTGTGATTTTTTTTAGGTTTGGTTGATGATAGTTGTGAGTTTGTTGTCATTTAATGGTTCACAGTTTTTGATCTTCTTCTGTTTCTTAGATAAGTCCCTTTAACATTTCATAGAATAAGGGCTTATGATGATGAACTCCTTTAACTTGACCTCATCTGAGAACCACTTGATCTGCCCTTCAATTCTAAATGATAGCTTTGCTGGATAGAGTAATCTTGGATGAAGGCCCTTGCCTTTCATGACTTTGAATACTTTCCAGCCCCTTCTTGCCTGGAGGTTTCTTTTGAGAAATCAGCTGATAGTCTTATGGGAACTCCTTCATAGGTAACTATCTCCTTTTCTCTTGCTGCTTTTAGGACTCTCTCCTTATCTTCAATCTTGGGTAATGTAATTATGATGTGTCTTGGTGGGCGCTTCCTCTGGTCAACTTCTTTGGGACTCTCTGACCTTCCTGGACTTCTTGGAAGTCTATTTCCTCTGCCAGATTGAGGAATTTCTCCTTGATTACTTATTCAGATAAGTTTTCAATTTCTTGCTTTTCCTCTTCCCCTTCTGGCGTCCCTATAATTCGGATGTTGGAATGTTTAAAGTTGTCCTGGAGGTTCCTAAACCTCTCCTCATTTTTTTGAATTCTCGTTTCTTCATTCTGTTCTGATTGAATGTTTATTTCTTCCTTTTGTTCCAAATTGTTGATCTGAGTCCTGGTTTCCTTCCCTTCACTGTTGATACCCTGTACATTTACTTCGCTTGGCATTCACTCCTTCCTCTATTTTCTGACCATAATCAACCATTTCTGTGAGCATCCTGATTACCAGTGTTTGGAACTCTGAATCTGATAGGTTGGCTATTTCTTCATCACTTAGATCTATTTTTGGAGCTTTGATTTTTTCTTTAATTAGGGCCATATGTTTTTGTCTTGATACAGCTGTTATGTTGTAAGAGATGGAGCCTTAGGTGTATGCCAGGGCAGGGCAACTGATGTGCCTGCATAGTGGTGCCATTTGTGGGGGAGGGGTCTGAGAAGAAACATTGCTGCTTGTTTGACTCTGCTGGCTCTCAGTCACTTCCTCCACTACCCACAAGTAATCTGGGCTCTTCTGGTGCTGATTCCTGGGTGGGTGGTTTTGTGTACGTTGTAGGACCCTGTAGGTCTCTCCAATGAATTCTCCTGCGAGGCTGGGAGTTCTTCCTGCTGCTGCAACCCTCACACTTTTTACCACCAGAGGTTTGGGGCTTTATTTTCCCACACTGGAACCCTAGATTGTGGGGCCTGTCCTGCTCCCCAGTTTTCCTCCCAGTTTATCTGCATGCAAATGTGGGACCATCCTCTCTGGCAAACTCTGCCTTGCCCATTCTTGTCTGAAAGCTGCCACTTCGACCACTGGGTCTTCCAGCTGCCCCCTTGATGCGAGTCCTCTCTGCCCAGCCACCCATCTCTGCCCCTCCTACTGGTCTAGATGAATGTTTCTTCTTTAACTCCTTGGTTGTTGGACTTCCATACAGTTTGGTTTTCTGGCAGTTCTGGTTATTTTTGTTATTAAATTTATTGTCCTTTTTGTTGTTTGAGGAGGCAAAGTGTGTCTACCTACGCCTCCATCTTGGCCAGAAGTCTCTCTACTTCACACCACTTTTCTCTGCTCTGGTCTGGCAAAATGTCTTTGGTGGGGAAGTGCAGCCTTCAGCCTGGGAAGGAAGGGAAAGTGCCCAGGCACATTTTTTAAATCGGGCTTTCATTTGCACTGTAGGTGGCTGAGTTTGTACAGTCTCTGCTGGGCTGTGAAGAGCATGCCAATTGCTTCAAGAAAGAGGTAAGAAATGTAAAATTATATATTCATTTCTATACTTCTAGGCCCAGAAGGGCTTTGTTTCCATTTACTTAAGTATAAATAAGAGCAGTTTGGGAGGCAAGAGAAAAGGGTCCTTGCAGGAAAGAGCCCAGCTGTAGACTGGTCACAGCAGGGCCAATCTCTGTCTGCAGCTCACTTGTATTTGCTGTGCTGGGCTCACACAGCATGCTGAGGAAATACACCATTTGAACACATTAATTGATTAACACTCACGATTGTAATGAAGCTCCTGCACTGTGACTCCAGGCTACACTAGAGGCAGGGAGGAATCCCACCATGTGACTGTCCCAGAGAGGACGGAGAGAAAGTGGGGCCATCCTGTATATCCCTGTTCTTCAGCTGCTTTGAGGGGAATGTAGAGAAGCCACAGAATCCTCCTGTGAGGTTTCTGCTTCTTCTCGGTTACACGTATACCAAACTGCTTAACATTAGTCCTGGGATTAATATCCACCTCTCTAGGGACCCCAGAAGAGATGGGACCAGCTACAGAACAGTAGTGCAGATAACAATGCTGGTTATTATTTACCATGAGCTTGCCATATGTCAGTCCCTCTGTAATCCCTGCACTGTCATCACCTCTGGGTCCTCACAGCTCCACAGCACAGCTCGCCAGTGAGGAACCTAAGGTCGGGAGGAAAGGGCCATCAGGTTCCAGCCTACATCTGTCTGTTTCCAGAGCCTTCGTCATGACTCTGAAACACTGCAAGAAAACTGGATTCTTAGAGACTCCAGGAAGCAGCACACACTCTCCCTATTTGGGGCACATGTGGCTCATGGGAAATACTCCCTGAGTTTGGGGTCCTGGACCCTCAGAGTTCAGGAAGCCCTGTATTTCCAGGGAGCTCAGCATCGGGGTCACTATGGCATCAGTCTGTGTAGCTGCCAAGGGAAACTGGGGCTTTTCCTAGTTCTGCTGGGGCCCAGCCTCACATACACAGGCCACTTCCTGCACTGAGGAACACCCAAGTCCCACCGGGTACTTTGCAGGTCAGGCTACTCAAGCTTGGCACTTAAGGCCAGCTGTGTCGCCGTGGGAACATCACTTCACCTCTCTTATCCCTCCTCTTGAAACACAGAGTTCCGTGAGGGGACCTTTAAGGATTAGGATTAGTATGTTTATAGTACTTGGCCCAGCTCTTGTCCCAGAGTTGGGGCTTAATAAACGGCAGTAATATAGACCAGAGGGTCTCCTCTGGAGACCATCAAGCCCTGCCAGTAATCCCAACATCATCTCTGAGAAGCTATGCGACTCAGGCAAATCATTAGGCTGATTAACTGTAGGGTTTCTCACCCGCTTTATGGAGTTGTTAGGAAGATCAAACACACAGAAAAGACTAGAGTATAGCTCCATAAACATTAACTGTTACTATTGTCATCATCACTGCCACCATTGCCCTCTTTTTAGTGTCTATTGGGCCAATAGTTGTTGCCTGAAAACCTGGAGTGCGACAACTGCTGGAGCCGGACCAGGTCAGGGATGGCAGTAGGGAGCTCCTCTCCTCGGCTGCAGGAAGTGCACTTTGTGCCCCACGGGAAAGGTGGTCCATTCTCTAAATGGATGATCCTTCATCAGACAATGTGTCATACACGCACAGGAAGCTTTTTAGAACTCTTTTAAAGCTTTACCCCTCACCAGGGATCCCAAGGTGATTCCTCCTTCTTTGGTGAGACATTAATACTGAGGGTTTGTACTGTTAATTAAAAAGGGTTAGAACCGCAGAGTTAGGCTCATGGAGGGGTGGTACCATAGAAAACCCTTTCACTCCATCCTTTTGGTTCTGGACCCAGGACTCATTGTGAGCCAGTCTGTGCAGACAGTTGCCTGGGTATAGGACCCACCCCAGGCCCTGGAGCTGCAGCTCTGAGACCACGTGGGACCGTGGGAAGCTGTGGGGAAGTGGCCTCACGCAGGGCTCAGGAGAGCTGATGCATCTCAGACTGCAGTGTGGTATAAAGGCTAATAAATAAAAATTTACGGTGTATGTATTTCTGCTTATTATAGCATTTATCATAAAAAATTAAAATACAGGAAAGTTAAAAGGAGAAACTAAAATCCCAACCACTATTCTACCAGCCAAAGGTAACCTCTGTTAACATTTGATACAAACATTCCAAGTAGTTTAACTGTGTATATGTGTACATGCGGCCGTGCGCATTTCATTTCACAATTAAAACCGAGATCTTTCCATATCATCATATTATGTTTTGGTGTTTCTCGATTTATGAAAATTTCCCAAATCATTAAGTGTTTCATTGAGACATGATTTTGGTAACTGCCTAGTGCCCCTCCTACATGACACTGTAATTTATTTACCGCTGCTAGTTTGGAGAGGCCGGGCTGATCTCAATAATTCACTGTTATAAATAACACTAGAGAGCGCGCATTGCACATTGTTCTCTGGGGAAAATAACCGGAGGTTTACTTGGTGGATGAAAGTAGGTTATTTTTAAGGCTCTTAATATAAATTTGGGCTAACATATTTAAAATGCAACAATAGAAATGTAGCTGGGAAGCAGTTCATGTATATCGACTTCATATTTAACAGAGTGAACACCTTTTGCATTTAAGGTGTCGGCGTCCTCGGGAAACGGGACGCAGTGGCTGTGACTCGGGCTTAGGAGCGATGCCCGCCCTCTGCACAGCACCGAGCTCTGCAGGGAGGCCGAGGCCTCAGGCTCCGAGTCACAGCTGCACACCAGGACTTACCGGAGGGTGAACAGCTTCGATGGCTTTTCTTCTTATTCCTGTTTATTTATTCACATGCAGCAGATTGACGGCAAAGCCTTCCTGCTTCTGACGCAGACGGACATCGTCAAGGTGATGAAGATCAAACTGGGCCCAGCACTGAAGATTTACAATTCTATCCTCATGTTCAGGAATTCTCAGGACCTCACTGAACAGGATACTGTCTCGGGCTAAGAAGTCAGGGGCCAAATGCCCCACCTGAGCTGCTGCCTCACTGGGACCTGGTTCTTGCAGCAATAAAGTTGGCCCGCACTGATTTGATTTCAGTGCCCCCGTGGTCATACCATATTTAATCTGGACCTTTTAAATGGCTGTGGCTATATGTTTAGAGGATTTTGATGGCTGCTTCAGGGCCAACAGCACCGAAGCCCAGGCACGTGTACAGTTTGTGGACAACCTTACCTTCAGTGGGGCCCTTTCAGCTCTGATGTGGGGCCACAAACAGACCAAAGAAGCCGACACATACACCTTTATTCTTCTCCCTTGCCATAAAAGACGCCATTTCCCAATGGAAATGGCATACAACTCTCAAGTGGTAAAATAGTAAAAAAAGCAGAACTCATAAATACCCGTTAATGTTTTCACCAGAACAACGGGGCCTGGCTCAGACCTGCCCTCCGCATGCAGTGAGTCTAAGAGTCAGGGGCCTGGTGCTTTAAAAAGATTTCATGAGATTTTTGTGTACTTCACTCAGGAAAGTGTGAATCTTTAAAAAAATAATAATAAGCACATATTTTCATGCTTCAATAGTTCCTTTTGTTCCATTAATCATTTCTTGGTTGTGCGCCCAAGGCCTCCTAGCAAGTGCCTGGCTGCTGCCTGAGAAGAGCCTGGGCAGTCAGTGGAAGGTGGGGAGACACTCCTGAGGACCCGCCCCCGGCAGTGCCCTGCAGGCTGTGTGTGGGACCAGCCACAGGGACACCTCGTCCTGACCTTTGGCTAGGGGGCCAGATGCCCACCAGCACCAGAGTCCTCCCCCAGTGCCACCCTGAGGCAGCCTCGGGAACTGGTGTGCCTGGCAGTGGTCTGAGTGTGATAAGGAGCTAGGGTGCAGCTGGGCCGTGTGCACATCTTTACAGGGACAGGGCACTAAAAGGGACGATCTCTAATGTAGGCAGCTTGCAATCTATTATATTTTTGAACAATTCTAATTTGTTATCAGACCTTGTTGTATGTAAGTGACTGTATCTGGGACTTAAGTGACATGGAGTCAGCCCCACAGATTTAAAGACAAACTCTTTTTTGCTGACGCACACCTACAGTGCGGGCTACAAATGCCCCCATGGAAGTGGGGCTCCGGTGTTGTGTTTAGTGGGGAGAGGAAAGAAATGGGAAGAAGGAACTCGGGCCTGACCATGCCCATTTTGTTTCAGTAAGAAACTAATGCTTGGAGAGTTCCTCAGACTTCAGGTCACTGGGAAAAAGAATCTTGTCTAAGAGGTGTTGCAGACATTACATTTCTTTGGATCCTTACTCAAATGGAATTTTAATATATTACTGGTTGATGTAAATTTTTCTTTCTGTGGAGCTTTCTTTGTTTTGTTTTTGTTTTGTGGACCGCCATGCACAATTAAAATTCTTGCTTCTCTATGTTAAAATTTTAATATATTTTAAATGATAATAAACAGATAAAATGAAAGCATCACCTCTCTGCCTTAATGACTATGTCATTATAACCTGTTCCTGTGCTACAACCTGGGGGCTGGTTTTCAGCCTTGGACGAGTCAAGGTGTCACGGCACACTTTAGCCCATGAAGACGTCACTGGTTTGGGGTACTTGGTCTGTTTCCTTAGGGAAGTAAATTTACCTGTTACTAACTTAAGAGATTTAATTTAAAAACACTGAGAACTGCTCATTGGAGAGGCTCCATGGAAGACATGAGACTTGGGTTTGTGTATTTAATATTGTACATGTCATTTCAACAGAAGGACAGATAATACCGAGCCAAATTAGGGAGGAACTATCGTGTTCCAAGAAGACAGTGTGATCAGATAGAAAGAGCTTGATCCTGGTATCCAGCTGCCTACCAGCTTCCTCAGTTTGTCACCCAACACCTCAACCTTGACAGATTCAAAAGGCAACTCAGATGGCCTCTCGCCAGTATTCTCCCCTGAGTGAATGACAGCATCATCGCACGCAGTAGCTGCTCAAGCCAGAAAACTAAAGCTATATCTTTCTCATTTTCTGGGCTATAAATTCTTCTACCCACATGGCATCATGGGGCATGGAGATGGTAAGAGAGGTGCCCAGTCAGCTTTCAGGCTGGCTCCTGCTGGTCCCAGCACCCTGAAGGCATTCGTACCTCCCTGCCTTTATTCTCTTGAACTTCTTTCTTTAATCCACCCTCACCTTTCCCTGGGGCCCCTCTCACCTTTGTAATATGCTGACCCTTCTGACAGAAGTATCTCTCCTGCTTCCCCACCCCCTTGTTCAATAGTCTTTCTTGACACCTCAACTATGAAGTTCCCACTGCAGGTCCTGCAGCAGCTGTGCCTTCCCACTGCATTGCTCCTCCCTCTTCATTGTTATTACTTCTTTGCCAGCCAGTCTACAGGGTTGAGGACAAAGACTATCGGCAACGTGTTACCATTTACTTGAGCATTCGGCATAGTATCTGGCACTTACTTGGCACACAATAAGTTACTTGTTGCATCAGTGAATGAATAAATTAATCAAACTCAAATTCAAATCTCAGCTCTGCCACTTCCTAAATAAGTGTAGCTTCTCTGCAAATGAAAGTAATTTCTACCCCAAGGAGATTTTTAAATTTTACTTACGGTTGTGTGCATGTATGTAATCATAACTGATGTGCACATGTTAGGTGCCTGACACCTAATGGTAGCTATTAAATACGTGCAGGAAAATAACAGCAACAGCAACCCATTTCTTGAACATTCTTCCGGGAATCTCCCTCATACAAACTGTGTAAGTTTGCATCAGACCTAACCCCAAGGAGCCCTCTTCTTTGTGTGGCTGTGCGTTGGGGTCCCAGGAGCATGCAGGGCCCATCCTGGGAGCTCTTGGTTGCCCTGACTCCACTGCCCCATACCCAGCTTCCACTCCAACCAGCTTTCTTCCCTGACCCCATGCCCTCCAGAAAGGCTGAAACATTATGAGTTGAAATCTTTATCTCTGCCCAGAGGACTCGTACCATCCTCAGGAGTCAGGCAGCACCCAGACATGCCCTAGATGACGTGAAGTCCCCGGCCGCCCCTAGGTACCAGCCTGAGCCTTTTACTCTTCTCTTCTTTTCCCGATTCTCACCCATGGAATGTGAGTGAGTCTGGGAAAGTTTCCAGTAGGGCTTCAGGAAATAAAATCTTCTGGGTTACTAGAAAGAGTTCCCCCAAAGGACCATGTGTACAACATATCATAAATACACATCATGATCCTGGAAATTAGATCATTAGCAAGAATCCTAAGGGAGCTTGGGACTTGTAAGACTTCTAAGTCTTTGAATGCCTTTGATTTCAAATGACTTTTTGCAAAAATAAATTTCTTTCGTTTCCAATAACAAACAGACATTCTGAGAAAAACCTAGCCTCAATCAGCTCTGCACGTCTATTTTCTCACTCTGATTAGGTGCTGACCTTGTATACTCCACATCTAAAGAGATTCCAGGAATGACAGCATAGGAGACTGACTTCTCGTTAAGTCAGGGCCACAGGTTGTGACATCTTTCCCTTGCTGATTGCTGACTCTCAAACATCCCTGTGATTTCTTGGTCAAGCTACCCTTATCAATGCAATCTCCATCCACTGAGTGAGGGTTGGAAGCTGAGAAGGGAAGGGAAAGTACTTGGGCTTTGCAGTGAGGCCCAGGCTTGAATTCTGAGGTCTGTGCCTATCTGGGTGCCTAACCTAGAAGTATTTCTAACCCACCCAGCAAGTGACCAACTTGCTGCATTTATTCATTTCTTTTGAAGCATTAAATTTTGATTGCATTATTTCTGCTTCATATCATTTTAAAGAATACTCAGTTTGTCTCTGCAACTCCCAGAACTGCAAAGTATGTCTTTGGAATGCATCCTGTTCTTCACACTTCAGGGTCACTGTTCACACTTTTTAAAATATAATTTTATTTATTATGCAACTACAGGTGTCCAAATATTTCCCCTTTTGTCCCCCTCCAACCAGTGGCCCCAAGCCCTCCAGCAGTCTCCCACCTTAGTTCATATCCATGGGTCATGCATATAAGTTATTTAACTACTCCACTTTCTATACTGTTCTTAACATCCCCTGTCTATTTTCTACCTAACAATTTGTACTTCTTAATCCTTGCACTTTCCCCTATCCACTCCCTTCCTCCTTCCTTCTCATAACCCTCCAAATGATCTCCATATCTAAGATTCTATTCCTGTTCTGCTTGTTTGCTTAGTTTATTTTTTTAGATTCAGTTGTTGATAGTGTGAATTTGTTGCCATTTTCATGTTCATAGTTTTGATCTTCTTTTTCTTATACAGTTCCCTTTAACATTTCATGGAATAATGGCTTGGTGATGATGAACTCCTTTACATATACCTTGTCTGGGAGGCACTTTATCTGCTTTTCAATTCTAAGTGATAGCTTTGCTGGATAGAGTAATCATGGTTGTAGGACCTTGCTTTTCATCAGTTTGAATACTTCTTGCCAGTCCCTTCTAGCCTGCAAAGTATCTTTTGAGAAATCAGCTAATGGTCTTATGGGAACTCCTTTGTAGGTAACTGTCTGCTTTTCTTTTACTGCTTTTAAGATTTTCTCCTTATCTTTAACCTTTGGTATTTTAATTATGATGTTTCTTGGTGTGGTCCTCTTTGGGTCCAACTTGTTTGGAACTCTCTGTGTTTCCTGGACTTGTATGTCTTCACCAAATTAAGGAAGTTTTCTCTCATTATTTTTTCAAATAAGTTTTCAATTTCTTGCTCTTCTTCTTCTCTTTCTGGCACCCCTATGATTCAGATGTTGGTACATTTGGAGATGTCCCAGAGGCTCCTTATTCTATCTTCATTTTTTAAAATTATTTTTTCTTCTTGCTCTTCTGATTGAATGCTTTTTTCTTCCCTATGTTTCAATTGTTGATTTGATTCTCAGCTTAATCCTTTCCACAGTTGGTTCCTTATAGATTTTTCTTTATTTCACTTAGTGTAACCTTCATTTCTGGCTGGGTCTTTTTTACCCTGTTGCAATATCCAATGACTTCTTTGAGCATCCTGATAACCAGTATTTTGAACTCTGCATCTGATAGGTTGCTTATCTCCATTTCATTTAGTTCTTTGACTGGAGTTTTGTTCTGTTGTTTCATTTGGACCATATTTCTTTGTCTCTTCAATTTGGCAGCCTCCCTGTGTTTGTTTCCATGTATTAGGTAGAACTGCTTTGATTCACTGTCTTAGTAATGTGGCCTATTGTAGAAAAGGCACCTGGAAATTGGGTGGTGTGGAGCCTTAGGTTATTGCCCACGTGGGGCAACTCTTTTCACTGTTTTGTGCCTCTGTGTGGGGTAGGGCTCAGAGAGGGGACAGTGCCACTGCCTGGCCTCTCAAGATTGCCCAAAAGGAAGCTATCCCCTGGAACTTGCCTTGTTGCCAGTCACTTCATTTTCTCCCTGTATGCCACTTGTACCCTCCATCTGTTGTCCTGGAGCTGAATTCCAGAGGGAGTGAGTTGCGTGAGTCCTAAGTCTGTTATGGGCCCTTTAAGAGGAGTCTCTTGAGAATCCCACAGTTTCTTTCACCACCCCAAAACCCAACTGGTTTTTACAGCCAAAAGTTATAGGGATTAATTTTCCTGGCCCTCAAACCCTGGGCTGAGTGGTCTGGTCTGGGGCTGGTTCCAGAGGTATCCTTCCTGATTTTTATCTTCCACTCATGAGTGTGGGACTGCCTATTTTTCCTCCTCTCCATGCCACTCCACATCTCCATACCTCTCTGCATCTCTGCCCCTCCTACCCATCTGGATAAATGTGGCTTCTTTAAATCCTCAGCTGCCAGACTTTCATACAGCTTGACTTTCTGATGAACTGGGTGGTATTTGTTTATAGTCTAGTAGTAATTTTTGCTGTCGTTGTGCATGGAGATGAAGCGTGCATACCTATGCCTCCATCTTGACCAGAAGTCTGAATATATTCTTAATATTCAAGAATATATTCTTCAGCCCTGACTGGTGTAGCTCAGTGGATTGAGCATGGGCCTGTGAAGCAAAGTGTCACCGGTTCAATTCCCAGTCAGAGCACATGCCTGGGTTGCAGGCCAGATCCCCATTAGGGGACTCAGGAGAAGCAACCACATATTGATATTTCTCTCCCTCTCTTTCTCCTTCCCATCCCCTCTGTCTAAAAATAAATAAATAAAATATATTTAAAAATATATATATATTCTTCATGAACATTTCTCTTAGAAATAAATTTTTAATAACTTATTTTCCTTATAAATACATTTATTAAAAAATCTGTTCATAGATCCTTAAATATTCAGAATAGTTATATATTCTCCCTACGAATAAATATATTAATGAATGCTATATTCACAAGAAATATTTCTTTAATTTGATGTAGTCCCATTGTT